ACTTATATTACGACTTCTGATGAGCCGTGGGGGTGAGAATCCGAGAAACCACGCCCGTGCCTCGGGTTCACACGCATGCGCAGACGAATTTGCGATGACTCAGAGTCTCTGGAGGGCTGCAAATTTGCCCAGTCGCGGACGCCCACTGCAGTAACGAGGCAGGGCATCGCCTTTCAGAAGGCGCGCTGCGCCCGCCGCCCGTCCCTCGGGACGCGACTGCACGTCGCCGCGCGATCGAAGCGCCACCGGCGAGTGCTGCGTGGGGAGCGCGAGTGGCGCGGGACCGTCAACAAACTGTCTCGTACGCGTCGAATGAAGTACGACGCAGTACTCGTCGGTGAAATGGTAATTTCTGGTCTTTGGTAAATGAGGGGTGTATGATTTGTTAATTATCATCGAAAGGTCATTGGTCAGCTGTTTATTAGGCATAGGTTAGTGTTTAATTATTTGTTGCTCTAAAATTAGCGCATTTGTTGTTCATTAGAGACACTTAAGAAAATACAATTTTACCACAGAAAATTACCATATATTTAAATTTTAAAATGTGTAATTTATATAGTGTGTGTATACATTACTTCTGAATGTTTGATAAACGATTAGAAAATTAAACATTCAAGAAAAATGTTTGTAAATATTTCTATTAGTGCCACTTTTCTTCGAATAGTTTGAATTTAAACTCAGAGATAACATTTAAAATACTATAAAAGTACTTTAAAAATACGTTCATTTTCAGTTTTTGTTTCAGCAATTTTAAGTAGCATTAAATTGTTATATTCTCCAGGATATATAAGTAACAATTACTCAAAAGCAGCTGTTTATTCTTCAAACTTCTTGAAAGGACAGATCATAATACTCTGTATTATACAGAACAAGTATTATAAATTTCTTTATACTAAGAGATGGTAGGTTCGATGTACCGCGCATTCCATCTAGTTTCCACAGTACAGATAAGTTTCGCTGCTCTCAAGCCAAACCAATTTTAACAACTCAAGTGTCAAAAGGAAAAGAATTTCAGGAAGGTTGGAATTTTTGTGTCTATTTTTAAAATATTAATATTTGTTAAAACTACTAATTCTACATCACTTACATTCTCGAATTATTTGTAACGGTTACGAACACCCCCAAAAATATTCTTTTCAAATTCAAGGGGGCGTGGCATCAATCACATTAATTGAGGAATATCAATTTTGGTGACAACAGACAAGATGGGTGGATGGGCACTGAACAAACTTTTGCCATAAACAATTTTTCGGTATCAATACCCATGAATGGGCATTGAAACATGGATTGTGACATGGATTGTGGACTACACGTGTTAGAGGAAGTAATTTACTGAAAGCAGGAACGAGCACTATTCACGTTTTTGGTATAAGGAACCTACAAACTCCATCAAAGTTTCATACACGACAAAATTGCAAAAGCTCTATGTAACTACCATTTTGAGAAAATAAGAGTATATACTTGTAAGTTCCATGTGTTCCATGAATCTGTACTAAAACAATGTTCTCAACACGTACGAAAATATTTTTAACACATCAATTCAAATTTTCAGACTCGGCTTTTGTCACATCATTTAGAAACATTTTATTCGTACTTCAAAAACTGACTTTCTTTGGTGGTCACTTAAATAAATATTGTATTATTTTAATTAACACTTTGAATTGAACTAAAAAAACAAATTTGGTGAAGTACCATTATCCTACCATATACATATTTGAATCCCGTAACAGCAACCTTAAATCAGCCAGTTTCTTCTCCAAAGCTCACTTCCCCACCACCACTGGCGGGCGGCGCGCGCGATACACGAGCGGCACCAGCGTCCACGCCCACGCGCCAACTCCCCCGGCCGAAGGGAGCCATAAGTTGGCGGAAGCGCCGCGCCCTTCCGGCGTCCCTAAGGCCCCCCCCCACCCCCGCCTCGACGCCTGGCGCTCGGCTGGCGGAGTGTGGAGTGCGCCCTGTTGCTCCACCCGGACTCCCTCGGCAGACGAGTTATCGCGCGGCTTGTTACGAACGGCGAGGGCGTAGACCTACTGCAAGGCGAGAAGTGTTGGTCGCGCGCAACAAATGACGTAACGGGTAGCCCCGTGGTTCTCGAGGGCACAGCAGTGCGTCGCGGAATTACGTGGGCGTGGTGCGAAAGTATATTAATGCGGATTAGTGGTGCTACAGCAGCACTTACTTTCTCGGTTTATTAGTAACTTTGCAATTTTCGAACATTTAGAGTTCAACGAAAATGAGAGTACTTCGTATTATCCGAGAAAATATACAGAAACATTTGAGGTCGCCCTTGAGAAACTTTGTTTTTTAAAACTGCTTTTATTGCATGCAAATTTACTTCACAACTACTCATTTTGAAAACATTATGCATGAATTCATTTAAAGATCAAATATTGAAGAACAGATTTCATTCTAAAGAAAAATCTCTTTTCAACTGCATTGTAGTTCTTGGAAGACGCCGAAAAAAAATATTAACTTTTGGCACATTCAAAAATATATATAATTCAATGAAAATCGGACTGACTTGGCGCCATTTTGATGAGTGTATTTTGACCTATCTGGTAGAAAATTTAACAAAAAATGGGGTATAATTTTTTGAGAAAAATTTGAAGCTGTCCTTGAGACTTCATGTAAAGAATTCCTCAAAATTAAAATATTTGCTTCACTTTCAAGGGGTTGCGACATCAGTCAGATCGATCGGGCAATATCAATTTTGATGAAAATCCTGTTTACGCTTTAGCACTAGTGTTGTTCGCAGACAGGCGAAAAAACGGATGAACACAGACTTTTTACCATGAACCAATTTTTCGGAACCAAGGACCAACAGAACAAAGAATCTGGCTACACAATTTGTTAGTGTAATTTATTACATATAAAAACATGAATTTTCACCTTTCTCGGTACCAAGGATCTACAATACGAATTTTTCTGCCAAAAATAACTTTTTATCACTGCACCATTACATAACTTTCTCTATACTACGTATGTAGTATGGGAGAAATTAAAAAATGAACTTACAAAACTTTGAGACACTAACATCAGACAATTGTGTTACAAGCTGAAGAACTTAAAATGTTTTGTCAATAATTATAGTCTTTTATTTAAATGGAACTTGTTGGCTTGTTTCCTTTGGCATAAGAATGCATCAAAGAAAGATTTCAAATACAAATATCACCATTAAAAAATTATTTATACATAGAAGAAAGTCGCTTGAGTTTTTTTTATTGCGAGCTTATGTTGAAAATCCCAGTTGATTCAAACTCATAGTTAAAAATTGAAATAAGCAGTACGGACAGTTCTCTAACGTTTAAGGTCCTAATGCGGGATGGCTTGCTTCTATTCTGTGGCTGTGCCTCAATGTTCCCAATGACAAACGGTGTGCCGCGATCCAAAAAATTGAGAACATTCCAGCACACTTACGAATGTTGCATAGGGAGCCAAGAGGAGCGTTTTGAAACCGGTTGCTGCGCCAGAACTGAAGATAATATGTATGTTAAAGACAGGCCAGGATGGAGGGGAGAAGCAAAGGGCTGCAAACGAACCGCTAATCCTAAGACAAGACGATGAAAGGTAGCTTCAGAAATGCGAATATCTAAAGTGAGGTTAGGCAAAGCATAACACTAAATAAATTCGTCTCTATATCAGTGGGGATAGAGAAAGTACATTCATGTCAAGATAAACTTTAAGAGAGAGGTAATCAAATATCGGTCTAAGCAATAGAAGCTACATATATCGGAAGGTGTTGGAGATAGGGCTAAAATATTTTCAGGAAGGGGAATTCATTGCCAAAATTAGAGAAATTGTGGAGGGCTTCATGCAATCATTTTAATATAAGAATTGGGCGTGATAGTTGTTGTGAGAGGAGGTAATGCATTTTCATTACGTGTGTTTCGACTGCAATATTTGAAACTATTGCGAATTCGAAGGGAACGTTTCAATGTTTAATCTAGAATATCCATCTTTATATGTTTAAAGTATCCCCTTAGATTATGCAACCAAATACACTTCGCTGCCGAGAGAATTGCCAACATCCTTCAACTTAAGCGTCCAACCCTAGATTATCCTCTTTCAATTGACTGATTGATTGGTCCTTTATTTCGAACGCGTTAACTAATAAGACCATTAGTCACGTAAGTGTAGTGCATGATTTCATCATACTAAGTGGCGATGATATTCTCTATCGCCTGGCTGGGAAATTTCTCTTCCAGATCTCTCCCAAGCCAAGACAAGCTCTAAGCTGCCCGATGGTCTCCCGACATATGTGGTAGTGTAGTGCGTGAGCGCAAGTAAGGGATCAGGGCAGGACAAGGAAGAGGAAGGAAACAAGCGGTGGCTTGTTTGTTAGAATAATGATCCTGCATTTGCCTGGTATTAATCGGAGAAACTACGGAAAACTACCGATTAGAGCAGCCGACCGTACAGACTGCAGTTCATTCGACCTAGCTATGTAGCTACTTTGTGTGAAAAATATCTCAGCGTCGGAACTCGAACTGTGGGACCTCCCGGCCAGCATCGCTGCAAATGCAGCGGAAACGCTGGCTTTGAGCTAAACTCAGCTGGTCTGTAGTACAATCGAAGCCTGCCACCGACACAAAAACCACTATTATTACGTAATTGTTATCATTAACTTCATATATGAATGAAAATTTGTTCCTGCGAGATTTGAGGATCACTAATTGCTATTAATTATTTTTTTCTTATTGTTAAATAATTTTAGGGTGCTTGACGATGGAGCTAGCTGAGCACGAACTATGGTATTGTTTAAAACAAGAATGTCCTTTTCAAATTTGGCTCTAATGTGTATAATAGATTTGAAGTTATTTTACATTTTATAAATGTACGAATTAAATGATATTATTTTACTTAACTTCCTTATGAAAGTATTAGTAACTTCCTTACGAAATTAATCAACAATACTACGACTTCCTGATTGAACCCACAAACCCGAAACCGAATATTATTTTTATGTATCTATTTATTTATTTATCTGATTCGGAGGGCGGGTTGCTGTTTCAGCCGCTGCGATGCGTGCTGGGCCTGCCGCCGTCACCCCCGCCGCCTTGGCCGCGCTGGCCGCGCTGCTAGCGCTCCTAGCGGCCGACTGTGCAGCCTACAACGAAGACCGCCCCATCTACAAGTGGAGCCCCGTCTGGTTCAACCGCTACTTCCGCACCGCTAACGCCATCAAGCGGGTACGACACGTCGCCCTCCTGCCCCTGCCCAGTTTGCCTGAGCCCAAGCATATTCCCCGAGAATTTCTGCGCTTTAATCTAACCTCAACTCTAAACCAATTCTCCCCATCTTGTAAAATTATAACCACGATTTTTATGGGGCTTGAATTTTAGTTATTGTCTGTATTTATGACCTTATCTCATCTGTAGTTTTAACGGACATTAGACTTACAGGTGTACCTTTTAATTACTTCATTTGTCGATCGTGTGTTAGCCTTATGGTATCTTTAGATGTGGGGCTGTTTGAAATGTAAAATCGGGGAAAATCATAACTATTGCCTTTATTCTGGTTGAATCTTAGTTATTTATTCTGCATTTATAATCTTAACAAACATTAGGCTAACTGGTTTCACTTTCTAGGATCCCGAGCGTATGTTGACCTCTCGGTGTTGTCAACTACCAGGCTGTGTTAAATGAAGAATTGGTTTAAAACTATTACCATCCTTTTTATGGAAGTTGAATTTTAGTTACTGCCAGCATTTAAGGCCTTAACCCGACTACAGTATTTTGAGAGACTTTAGACTAACTCGTTTCATTGCGGTGTTTGCAGATGCCGGGCTGTGTTAAATTGAAAATTGATTTAAAACTATTACTGTCTTTTTCATGGCGGGAGAGTTTTAGTTATCCCCAGATTGAAGGCCTTAACCCGACTACACTATTTTGAGAGACTTTAGACTAACTTGTTTCTACGGGCTGTATTGTTGCAGGCGCCGGGCCCCGGCGAGCAGTGCGTGACGTACGGGCGGCGCTGCAGCTACTGGGGCATCCGCCTGCCGTGCTGCGAGGCGGACGCCAAGTGCCTCATGGAGCACTGCGTGCCCCTCGCGTAAGCTCCCTGCCTCGCCACCTCTCACCCACCCCACCGCACCTCCCCGCTTAGCACCCACGGGCTAACAGAGCGACCGCTGCTTGCACCCCGCCGGCGCGGACAAATTGCTTTGGCACGGAGGCTGATCCCATCACTCAATTTTTCAAAACAATGACAACGTTTTGATTGCTTCACACTTCAAAAGAGTATACCCATTGACCATGCACTTTTTTTTACTTGAAACGAGTTTTTTCCCCAAATAGTTTCGGGGGTCTTAAACCGGAAGTTGCCTTTCCCCCGTAACAATTCTTCATGGATCCACCTCTGCTTAATCGCCATTTACGCGCGGACAGGAAGACGGACGACAGTGCACTAAACATTACTGGCGTCTTTTGCTGTCACCGCGGCCAGCGCAGGAACAATCACACTATACACTGCGCCCAGAACGGCAGTTAATTCGAAGAATAGTGGGCTGTCATGTCAACGGGCAGGCTATCGAAGCGCTTAAGGCTCCCGCCGGATAAGGGTCTCCCAATAAGTTTTAAACAAACATATATGTGCCAAATATTTTAATATTTGATTCATTTTTAATTGAAAATGTTATATTTTACTTAATATTTATTTTATTGAATATGATCAATATTTTAATATTTTTGGAAAGCTACATTGTTGATATTATTTCCAAAATCACGCATCTCCATGAAAAACATAGTTTTCAGGAAGATAAAATATTAATATTCAACCTTATAACTCAAGATAGGATTCAAGGTTTTCGGATACCGGTTCACAGAGGAGAAACGTAATATTTGAAAACAATTTTTGACAGCTGATGGAGATGTGTCTTAAGAATAAATTGATATGTAAAATTATTAACTGAATTGGGAGATACGTCACTCTGGAAACAAACTCTTCAATTTGGCCGTCCTTAGACTTCTTTCAGATGTTAATTCAGCCCCAGTTTGTGCTACTTGTCCAGTTCGCTAAAGTGTTAAGAGAGGACAACGGATGTTGATACCGAGGACAGACAATTGCCGCTGTGGGAACGAGCAGATTACAGTTGTGTTTATGATGTGTGTTTCATGCAGTATGAGATTGTAAACATAATCTAATTTACCTCAAAGATTATCTCCATCTTCAGATACCCAGAGAGAACTTCTCACATAATAGCTACTGGCTTTTTCATGTATAAAAATCCATACAAAAATAGTCATAAGACTTCCCTCGCCCATTCTAAAAATATTTTGCAACCCGGGTGACAGAATGTCTCGAGAAACTCAAATAAATCCCCCGAAAATTTACACCCTGGTTTTCGCTCGTAAACAACCCCACGGCTGAACCTTGCATTAACACGCGTTAGCCTAACGCACGACTACGTGTTCCCAAATATGTAATACAATTTGAATACTTTTTATTGAATCTTGCACGTCCTTTCCCCGTCACAAAATGAATTACTAACACAGATAATATTTGATGTGGCCGAACATTGGAGGAAAATCTTAACTTCCATTTTCCTTTAATGTTTCCACAACGTAATAACACTGTCAAGGTATTACATTGTAGAATCGATGTTTTATTCCAAAATTCATTATAAATTATTATTATTATTAATAAAAATTATTGTTGGATTGTTCAGTAGTATGTTTGATCCCCTCCCTTAAAAGATTATAATATTTCTAGGCACTTTTCTTGGAGTTGAAAATTACAAAATATTTCTCCTATTTGACGTTTCAGTTTCCCTGGTCTTTAAAAAATTATTTTTTATGTATAATTGGCTCTTCAATTGGAAAATTGCTCTAAATAATATATAATAGTTTATAGAAGGAAAGTAAATGTTATAGAATCAAGTAATTTGACTTACACTTCGAGATATATTTCATTTCAGAATTCCAAGTGCACAAATATTGGCACGTAGTCTCTGGCGCGGAAGGAAGAGAGAAGGACACCAATCAAATTCAAATGCGTCGAATTGTTTTATTCTAATTTAATGTCTTACTAAAGACCCTTTCATATTATAGCGAGGACATTAATTCATTATACATAGTGTCCGAGGAGGACAAGTCGAAATCTTCGAAAATAAGATCTTAAGACAATTTTAAGCCTATTTTGTCTAATAAACAACTTGTATATTTCAAATGGCTAAGCCACTATAGGCAGTCGAATTGTATACATTGGGTGCTTTTTTATTTGTGTTAATTTTTCTTTCTGAACAAATACATTCATTTCAGTTGTAAATAATAAACAATTTTTATGTTTATGATGTGTTTCTATGCAATGCAAATTGTTGCCTAGACAGCATTTTTCAAATCAACTTTTGAATGTTTGTTGCCACTCAACAATTCGGAATATCCCAGTAGTTTATTAGACAAAATATGCTTAAAATTACCTTAAGAGTTAATTTGCGATGTATTGACGTTTCCTTCGTGTACCCAACGTGTACCCAACCATTTAGATCGAGGAACGATAACATGGTGTACCTTTGATGCAGTTCTTCATTAGCCGGAAAATATAAAATGAATAGGAAAGAAGTTCATGAAAAATCTGCCGAACAGGTGGGCCTGAATTTTCATAACTAACGAATAGGGCCAATTTGCACACTACTTTTCAGCACTACTGATCCCTTCACTACTACTACAAATTAATATAATATGATAATATTTATTGACAGTGGCTAATCAAGGTTCCTACTCAAGCTGCGATGCAGCAGGTGACAGCCAATCCCACACTACCGAAGGGTACCAACAAACTTTAGATAAACCTCAAGAATTCTACAACTTTTGGCACGTTTCATTTCAAACTTGTATTTATTTTCCCACCTACTGCCAGTCCTATGGACCAAAGGATGTACGTGATGGAACTGGAGAGGGGGGACGAGAATAACGGCTTTTCCCATTTTTTCAATTCTCTTACTATAGGCTAAAGTGACAATTTTTAATAAACATGTTTTTCCCCTCACACGTTTACCAATTTGGAGCTCAAAAACTTGGCTGAGTTATGTGTGGCATACACACACATACACACACACATCCATTCATCCATTCATCCATCCATCAATCCATCCTTCAACCAAGATATCAATTTTTTTAAAAAAACATTTTGAACTTTTTAGTATTAGAAACCCTAAAAATTGATTTTACCATTAAAATCTTGATCTCAAATGTTTGGGTCAATTCCAATACATTTTTTCGATAAACCGTAGAGTCGAGGAAACGTAAAACTTTGCGCTTTGCTGTTTGCGTACCGTCGTTTATTGTTACAATAGAAACTTAACATACATCGTTTTCACAATAAAGGTTCCCATAAGAAGCAAAAACAGGTTTTATTTCTTTTAATATTTTGGAATGTTCCCACAATTTCTTCCAACAATGCAAAACTTTATCACTGGCGCTATGAATATTATGAATATGATTTTCCATGTCTTTGTTTCCAATATTATCTTCAAAGACAGAACAGTTAAATCCTCGAGTCCATGTGTCTTAAAAGTCGCGTAAAATTCGAAAACTCGAATTTTCACGCATCATTGGAATGCTAATATTTATTTTTTAAATCCCATTGCTTTCTGCCTGCTTACCTTCCCCTGCTTTTGTGAATTTATAGAGCTTGTATATATGCTTTCATACACTCTTTCAGAGTACAGTAGCATGAAAAACTTTCACTTCAAGCGTATTTATATTTTTTAAAATTAATACAAAATTCATTTGTCGATTTCATTTCAAAAGCGACTTATTCACGAATTCCTTCACACAGTTCTTTCAAAATTTTTTGAAGTATTTGCCCTGGCTTTTATTGAATTTCTGGAAATTCTTTATTATTACTATTTTATTATTATTATTATTATTATTATTTAATGACAAATTTGATAATTGGGGGGATTCAATAAAAGTTAATATTTATCTATCCCGATTAACATTATTTTGTTACCGCATAAGCTTAGTTTCTCTTGCGTTGATTGAGTAGTGTTCTTCTTCTACACAACTAAAAAGATCTCACGGGTTTTCTAAGTTTTCGAGCATTCTTTGCAACCACAAAGTCTCGGATATAACTGACCCAAAATTACGCTAAGAAATTCGATACGTGTTAAGAATACAAAATGTAATAAACTCGGAAATATTTTATGTTCTTGGAGAGTTCATTAACTCATGTGTTGGATTCTAAAACATATAAAGGTCTCTCAGAATAAATGTTTCAATGATTTAGGTCAAGGAGAGGGGTCGAAGAAGCAATTTTTGACAATGAACATGTGAGAGGAAGTTTGGTTCAACGAAATTTAACATGTGAAGTTTTCCTCACATTGTTAGCATCAACTGATGTCACTGCCGTGCCACTGACCGGGAGGTCCTAGGGTTCGAATTCCGTTGGTGTCAAGATTTTTGACCCTACCTAAACAGCTGCGTCGAATTCAGCTGCTGCCTAGAGGAGAATTCTAGCGACCGTGTGCTCTAATCCGTGGTTTTCCGTGGTTTCTGCGATCAACGCCAAGCGAATGTTGAAGCAGTACCCTAACAAACAGGACACGGGCCTTGCGCAAACTTTCCCTCCTCTTCCTAGTCCTATCCACAGCCCTTACTTACACACATTTACACTCACATGCACTACTCTACCACATACGTTGGAAGACTTGTCGGGGGCTTAGAGATTGCTCCGGCTAGGGCGGTGTCACGCTAGTGGGAGATACCTAGCTGGGGAAAATCCCCGCTAGCCGACGTAGGTCGGCGTTGGATCTTGCAGTCCAGCGGAGGCAGATTACCACCTTCTCCCGCGATAAAACATGTACTACTTTTACGGGACTAATGAGCTTAGCAGTTGACGCGCCCGTAATCATTAATCAATCAATCAACAATCAGCTCAGATTGTTAGGCATTTTTCCATGCATCTGTTTTCGGCAGGTACACGGAATTTCTTTGCGTCAGAACGTGACCTGCTGAATGCTAATGCATGAAGAGCTCCCTGGCAATAAGGGAGAATGTCAAATGTGTAACATTTGACAATTCTCAACAAAATTATATTGAATTTCTCACTACAAGTTCGTTAGCAAATAGTATTCATCTTCGTTCTCTTTACCTGTCTTAGAAGTTTGTAACATGTATTCTGAGACGCCTATAAAAAGGAAAATAAACGTGTTCTTATGATAAAATACAATATATTCAATATATAATTGTAATTAGTTTTATACTTTCCATAGTTTCTAAAAGCAATAACGCCACATGACTCAACATTGATTAGAGCTGATAAAAGCAATAAACAGAACAAATAATTATGATTTTATAAAAGAAACATTCAATTTCTGTTCATACAGGGACCAGAACATCTTTCTTCCCAAGGACTGAAATCATCAATCGGCGATGCTGCTAATTATATTAGACATCATCTTCAATCGTATCTACACCCATAGTGAAAATATTTTATTTCAGTTAAAATACATATTTAATGTGATTTTTTCATGTTTTCGCGGAAAAAAAATTTCAAAATATAAAATGTTCAGAAATAATACGTGAAAAATATATTAAAAGACTTAACAGATATGAATTCCAGAACTACCAAAAAATTAGTAAAAACGAATATTATTCATTAGGCCTACAGACTAATGCACTTTTCTTCTCCACTTCGGATTAACCTACATTACATAAAATATTTACTTCACATAAGTGTCATAAAGTCAATGCACACACCGTATTTGCTAATGTTTGCTCTCATTTACGTGCTTTGAAAATATTTGCATTGAGAATACTCGTTAAGAATACAAATGAAAATAAATGTTAGAAACATTTCATGTGATTATGAACATTTAATTATTTCATGTGTGTTATGAATTTTTTTAAAAATACTATTTTCCTAAGGAATCAATATGTCCTTACAAGAAGAAAGTATCATAATTAGTTTCATGTACTCCCTCCCTTTCAATGCAAAAATCCACATAATATCCCCAAACTAGATAAGAGATGCATAAGGCACTAAATAAGAGCAATACTTATGCTGATGGTATAAAAGAAACATTCAATTTCTGTTCATACAGGGACCAGTACCTCTTCCTACCTGAGGACTGAAATCATCGACCGACGATGCTGCTAATTATGTTATGTCATCTTGAACCATATCTATACATATAGTGAAAATATTTTCTTTCAGTTATCTATTTAATGTGACATTTTTCATGTTTTTGCTCAAACTTTTTTCAACACACAATATGTGTACAAATAATCTCTAAACAATATAAAACTATTTATCGTTATACATGATACACTAATTACAATAAATGCATTAAAATGTGAATATCGTTGTTCTAATTACAGTGACTAAGGCATTTACTGTCTCGAGCAAGGAATAATGTACAGTTTTACATAAAATATTTCACTCGTATCTAAGTGCCAATAAAGTATTACATCCACCATTTATGCTGCACTCCGCTCTCTTATATGTACTTTGAAATTATGTGCAATATTATATAAATAATCATTGATATGTGTTTTATTTTATTCAATTAAATTAGATTTTTATTATACCCACTGAGTTAAATTACGCTTTCCAACAAAGTGTACTTAACCTAAAAATCAATATTTTGGTATCAGTTGTAATTGTGAAAAGAGGTTTCATTCTACATTGGCCACGTGAACTGATTCAGTGCAATTTTTGTGACAGTAGGTAAAAAAATATTCATCTTTCAAATACTCATTGATTTATGGTGTAACTGGTTCGTATTTATGGTGAATATAATGATGGGTTTGAACTTATCTAATATTTATACTTGAATGATAATTCCAAAATACTCGATAACAGTTATCCTGCTACTTGTATTAGGATTGTGTTATCCCAAAACCCGGAAGAATGTATACGTGACTACTTGTATTTGACCTATTGTGTGAGAAAAAAAAACACCTATTGTATGAAAGAAGAAATTACTAATCTGAACGTGTACAGATTATGGTCATTGGTCGTTCGAGGTGCATAGATCTCTAATAGAGAGAGTTCCAATAGTGACCGTGAATATGCAATCATGAAGAAAACTATACTCTCCGGAAATCCTGGAATAAAATCAGTTTCGATATGCAGTGACGTGAAATAATTATAGAATGTTTGAGCCACAACAAAATGTTCGTTATTTATTTATATATTTTTAGTTACATATGTAATAGGTTAGTTGTCTTAATTATTATTACTCTCACAATTCATTCACTCTCATTATCGCATCACACTTTTCTTACATTAACTGTGAGCCTGGTGGCTTACTCCTCGATGCTTCCTGGAAGCAATAATGCCAAAAAAAATATGAGATACAAATCATTGGCTGCGAGAGGAGGAATATGTGGCATTGCGGGACTCAATAATGTTAGTCAACCAATCACTGGTGAGGTCCTACTGCCCGCCGACTAGCGCCACAGCCCATGCTGCCTCGCAGCTGATTATGTATTTTACGAGAAAATTAAAGTACTAGCTGATTCCTTGCGCGTTGCTGCACAGAAGAAATAATTGTGGAAATAGCGTTTGAAATTGAAAGAGTTATCTTGTCATTTTCTTTATTTAAGAGTTAACTAATCCCTCTCGCTCTCTTTTTCCCTCTCTTTTCCCGCTCTCCCTATATATTTCCCCCTCTCTTTATCCTTCTCTCTCTCTCTTCCTTCTCTCTCTCTTCCTTCTCTCTTTTTACTTGTCTCTCCCTCTTTTCCCCTCTCTCTTTTCCCTCGCTCTCTTTCCCTCTCTTTTTTTGCTTTTCTCTATTTCTGGCTTTTCTCCTCTTTCTGTTCCCCTATCTCTCTCTTTCCCTTCTCTCTTTTTTCCTCTCTCTCTCTCTCACTCTCCTCCCTTTTCTCTTTCTTTTCCCCTCTCTTTTCCCTCTCCTCTCTCATTCTTGCGCAGCCGTCGCCTCCTGTTCTCTACCTCGACGCATGGCAGGCAGAGACGCTCAGCAACAATAAGTTCAGGTTATTGGACATTTAAATGAAGCATCATCTTGTGCTGCAGCGCCATATAATGGTATTACAATAATTGTACTATGTCCTTTCCACAAGAGAATGCAATACGTTGACAAAGTTTTATCGCAATCGAATGAACGATACAGCCGCGCATTATCGAACCGACAAACAAACATTGATTTTTATATATTACATTTACATCTTCTCCACTACAAGCACCCATACGTGAGAGGAAATTAATTTTCTTAAAACACGACATGGAAAAAGTAGTGGATAAAATGCATCCGCATTGTGGACAACGCGAACAAAGATAAATGGTGAATTTAGGTTAAGTAATGGTGTCTAACATTTCAGCTTTCGTAGGAATAATCTAATGAAACCTTGCTTGCACAAAACGAACTGAATAATTCTTATCGTGTAAGTGAATTTTAATTGCTCTTTGTTGCCTCTTTTTGAAATCAGAAATCAGAGTGTTTAAAATAAATGTTACAAACTTTTAGGGCATGCGCGGGGATCGAAGATGATCACTTTGTACCAATGAATATGTGATGGCAAATTTCATACTGAGAAGTTACACATGTAGGATGTTCCGTAGACTACTGCTAATACTCTGGTTTTAGGTAGGTACACGTAATACCTTCGGAAGAGCCGAATGTGATCAAATATCCGTGCATGCAGTATTATTAACATTTTATTTAAAACACACGTAAAGAAAATACATGAATGATATTGTCGCGTGTGCTTTTTATTTCAAAGTTTCTCCTCTCGCAGATCTACGTTAGAAACAAAATAGCAATTTGATTTCAAAAGATAATATATATTTACGTAACAAGTGCAGAAAGTAAATCTTTGGCGTACGAATAAAATGTTGATGGACAAAGCAAGAATTGAAGTTGTGTCCGTCATTTTGAAATGAGTACGCCAAGGACACTTTCGTACGTACGTGTTTGCATTTTTTTTAGTATGGATACATGGGAATTTACTTGTATTATACTCTTCGGATTATTCTCAATATGCAACGCGGCAGCAATGATTCTTGTTGTCTCAGTTTCGTTATCTTTGCAGTACCCAGCTTAGGCGTAAGTGGTTGGAATAGCCTTTCCCGCAAGAAAAATGTTCATTAGCATAAATATATTTCCAATGTATAGGTCGAACAATAAATAGGTATTACATAATTATACTTTCATTTTGCAAACTTTTTTTTTTCTCATTTGATTCTAAGTTTTCAGTTCTGAACAACTGAGGATCTGTTGGATGTGTTAGTTCCTGGCATTGTTATCCATATCCATTTATTTATTCATGTATTTATTCAATGAAAAAAAGCGCAACCATTCAATTACAAAACAGTTTTGCAGAAAATAAAATTAATTATAATCATTCGGACATCATTTCGGACAGTATCCAAAAGCGCAGCGCCAGTCCTGGCGATCATTCTCCCAAAAGATCTGAGAGACAGGAGATACGAATGAAATACGATACTTGGACCTAAATGATGACCAACGACTATCCAAGAACACTCAAAGACAGACGCAAGGACAAGACTAAGGCCGGCAACAGACTACACCGAGAGATGCGTTGCGAGAAATGTGCGACGAGAAACGAGGAAAGAGGCCTGTGAGGCTGCGTCGACACACTAGAAATGTGTCATTCGATGACTCGAAATGCTTTTATGTGCCACAGGCCGAGAATGGTGACAGCAATTAGATCAGCTGCGAGTTCCATTTCTTGTTTTATTACATGCTCTTGTGTATTTTTTACCCATGAAATCCTTCTTTTATTTCCGTAATCGTAAATAATCTATATGTCTACGAATTGCCTAAAGAGAAATACATTACTGCACTGCGTATAAATAATTATTTAATGTTAAAAAAGAACCTGAATGTGACATGTAAGGAAGAAGTACAATACGTCTCTGCGAATTTTCTTGAACACCGATATTTTTACACTGCCTGTTTTACTATATTTGTTGGTTGAATTATGAATAAATGATGAATGATCAATTAACTCAAAATAAAATTCACAATAAATAAATTAATTTATAAATAAGTAAAAAAAGTAAGTAAAAAATAAAATTCTAATTCATTTCTTCAAAATACCCTTTCAAGTTCTTGCTTCAAATCTTTATTTTTAAATGGCTCATCATGTACTGCTTTCTTACAAGAAATTATTTTTTCCTCACAAGTTTTTCCTAGTTCATTACCGTTTAAAGAAAAAACTTTCAGTAAGAAACTCAAAAAAACTGGTTATCACATCTTTTACTGGTAAATATGATAACCTCAATCGTTTCTACGCACTGTTTAGCGTTTTACTGCGGTAGAGAATGCCTAATTGTCATATAACAAATGGAGTAGAAATGTGTCCGAGAAAACTCGCTAGTTGACCGACGCGAGCTAGGAACTCTTTTGCCTCTGCAGAGGCGAACGAGAAAACTCTTTCAAGTGTCTGGGGGTCGATAAACATTCTTTATTTCGATTTTCCACATTTTTCGCCGCACATTACTGGAGACAATTCCTCGGTGTAGTCTGTTACGTATGTTACGTATCTAATACAAAGATGGCAAGTACAATGGGACTCTGACCTCGCAGGAAGATGGACTCAATGCCTCGTTCCAAATATTAAGACGTGGATAGAAAAAAAGGTCGGTGAAGTAAATTATTTCCTTACTTAGGCACTTACCGGTCATTGTAACTTCGGCGCATACTTCAAACATTTTGCTGTATCAGAAAACGCAAACTGCGTCCATTGAGAGTGCGAAAACGACGGTGAAGACCATACTCTTTTCGTCTGCGTTGCGTGGGAACGAGAAAGACACACACTGAATCAAAGATTAGGAACGGTTGTCCATGAAACAAATACGGTAGTTCATATGCTCGAAACAAAGGAAAAGAGGCAATTAAAAAAAGATCAAGTGATGGGTCTGAGTGACAGCAGGACTCAGATTCTGTCGCAATCGCATGTTAGATGCTCGTTAATAACCGTGACTTCCGACATTGATATTCTACTGCACCAGATGTTTTTTCCAGGACGTTAAGGTAAGGAAGGCTCAGTTAATTCGATAGCTATTAACATACCTAGAAATGTTATGACGAGAGGCCAAAAGTTAAAAATCGAGGAGGAGCGTAGCGGAGCCAAGATTTTTAAATAGGACGAGGCAGTAATAACACGTGTAACATTTCGTGGTATGTTCAGCATTTTACCCGTTACCATAAAAGTTCATGATTTATGCGAAAATTAACGTTACTATGATAGCAAACAAATGAATTCTGTTGTTGCGGCACGTTACATTGATATAAGTGGCGTTGTTTGTAATTTATCTATTTAAACAATATTCGTATACCGTGATTCGAGAAAATATGGACGCAAATAATTCTCCTGCACCTAAAGATATCAAAAAGAAAATATGTTCGGTGAGAAAGTTGGCATGTCTACTTTTAGTGGCGACATGTTCAGATCGTCAGTAAATATGATTATCATAGAAGAGTGCCATTTGGTGCAGTGCCCGAAAAATGAGGTTAATTTACCTAATAAACATTTTTAAATAGTCCTATTAATATTACAGTTAATGATTATCCCCAATACTAATATGAGTTAATTTTATTCCGGATTGATTGAATCTGACTTGTTTTGTTCATCGCCATGTTTCTTCTTAATAAACATTTGAATCGCGATGAATCGATGGTTGTTGCTAAGGATGTTAAACCCCGTTGTTAAGGATGTTAAATTTCTTAACATACAGGCATACAGGTAGGTACAAGAGTATTTAACAAACCAGTAGGGTTCCATGTTAACAGGGGTTAAAGACGCTTGTGCCCTATAAAGAATTAAACGCTAGGAAGAATGAAACTGAAAAGGAGCGAGTAGCCGTGATACGATATTAGAGATCACGGTTCATTGTTATTCTCAGAATCCCTTTGCCCTCTGATTTCCTCGAGAACAAAGCTGAGGCGCCGGACCTGTCGCGCGAATACTACTTTTTACGTCTTCAATATTCATTTTCTCTACAGAAAATTCAGTGTATTGTATTCGGTATACATACAATTTTCCTGAATGTAAAAGGGATAAATAAAGAAAATTGCTATTAAGTGGTTGGTCAAGGTCGGGGAAGTTTGTTAACAGGAAAATCATTTAGATACAACATATGGGTTTGAGTGTCCATTCTAAGAATCAGTAGCTCAGAGGGATAGTTGTTTAATATGGGTGGTCTTTGAATAAAGTAACGCCGGAAATCTGTGCACCTGGGCGGGAACTTTCAATCCCTGCCAAGACTATGTGGGACCGCGACACAAGACTGAAGTCTTGACCCCGCCTGCGGGCAGGGACGAAACTCTTGTTTTCACCCGAGACAATTCTTCTGCATAAGAGGGTACATGCTTTATTTCAAAATTAGAACGATTAAATTTAGCCCTCATCTCCACTTACCAATTCTGCACCCGGGGCTTACACCCCTTCTGCTCCCCCCAGATTACATCCCTATCTGCAGGGAGTGAAAATAAGGGGGATTGTTGATAAATTCATTATTTCAAAAAAATACGATTTCAATCCAAACCAACACGTTTTACGTATTTTATAATTATTTGCGTTGCATGTTTTCTCTTTTGGGGTGGGAATTGTAGATTGAAAACCACTGTCCTAAAGAATTCTTGCTTGGCCTATAAGTGTAAGAAATACTACAGTTTCTCTACAAGATTCTTTTTTAAATAATTAGGAAATATTGGTAATCTGAAATCAAAATAACGACGACGTATGTTTTCCTTTCAAAGCAGCTGATCTGACACTATTGGCATAAATGTTGGGGGTGTCTTCATATTATTCGTAAAGACGCAAAGTAGTGCTTATTGCCAACGTTTGAAAAAATGTTCTTGTTTCCATTGTTAGTAATACCGAATATACCTTTTCCCAAGGTTATTTACATCTTGAGAATTAATATTAACTTCTTAACCTCCAGATACTACGTCTAAAATTTTAGATGAACGGATGAATGTCTAAATTTATATTTTTATTCCATAAATTCTGCCTGCAAGAAAAATAATAAATATACAATGTCTTGGATATTGGCTACACTGTTGTCAGGATGTTCGTGTTGTGTTGACAAACCGCGCGAATGCATGTTTTCGTTTTATGGAAAATAGTGTAATTTTTTATGGTTATAGTGTATTGTAGTAATTAACAGTTATGGCTTCATTTGTGACTGAAATTGTGCGATGTGCTGGTAAGAAATGTGAATTGAAAATAATTGTACATGAGAAAGAATGACTTACTTAATTACCTAACACGATTAATTGTTTTGTTTTTTTCAGATAAAGTGGAATTGGATGATTTAAATAAAAACATCGAAGACTTGTCACGATCAGTGTTTAATTTGAAATGTGAAGTTGCAAAAGAAATGGAAAACACATATGTAAGCTTCTTAAAAATGCCAGCAAAAAATAAAAAATTGATGTTGGAGGTTAAACAGCAAAGTGCCCGAATGGAAATTATTCAAGACAAGGTTGATAAAATGGTATGATTTTATTATTTAAGAAATAATAAATATGCTGTTCTTAGGTAGAAGTATTCTTGGACATCTGCTCACATATTTAGGTTATGTTTTCTACAATGACATGGGATGAATTAGTCAAGCTTGACTGATTGTGGTTATTGGGATATTTCGATGTCAAATTTAAATTGTGACTTTTTATGATAATTTCAAATATTTTAAATTAATAATTTGTGCTCTATTGAAAAAAAAAATTGAAATTCAGTATTATTTTTTTAATTTCATTCCTTTGAATGCTTTGAATGAATTTTATTCTGATATAATTAAAGATAGAAATAAGTAATGTAATGATAAACAAGAATGTTTGTTACCAGTATTTATTTGCATGATTGCTTACTTAAACTCTAATGATTGTTCTGTATAATAAACTAGATGTAGTTTTTATTGGTTTTAATGAACTAATTTAAAAGTGAAGTTTTGAGTATCTTTTTTAAGTGAAGTGTTGGTATGAAATACTTTCATTGAAATTGTAACATGATGTTCAATTTTATTTTGTTCATTCATTCGTATTATAAAGTCTAGGAAACTTGTTATTTCATTTTTCCTTGTATTCATTGCACAGGTAAAGCATGAACTAGAAAGCTCCACTGGCGAACTGCACACTTTGTCAACAAAACTAATGGAAGTGGGCCTGAAATTAGGTCATGTCACTCAGTTGGTACTAATGGACAACGCTCTCCAGGCTGCAGTAAATGCACATGAAGCACAGGAATTTCCACAAGCAGCAAAACACACACAGCACTTACTTCATTTACTGGATGATCTTTCTCCTGAAAATGCCTCATTAAAAATTTACACGTGTGTAATATTTCGTTTTCCTTATCTCAGCATCTTCTGGGTACAAAAATACACTATACTTTGATTTAAACATAGGGTCTCTTGACATATATCAGCTGTTACAGTGTTATCCAATTGAGACTTTGGATGACACCTATAGTAGTGATGTTTAAGCTCCTGATTGGATGACAGCTGGTTAAAAGTTAACAGGCTCTGTAAATAAATTGAAGTATAATAATGGTTTGGGTTGTAATGTTTCTAATATTACCAAGTTTTAAGTTGAAATATTGTGGTATATTTGTTAAAAGTCATAACATATCTTAGTAAATTCATAAGAATGTTTTATGTGTATTATAATTATATTATTTAATTTAATTTGTAGCTTCTTATTAAATGTCGAAGTACCCAAAATTCAGTTACTAGTTCGAATTCAATACCTCTCTGTTTGGTTCTGAAAAATATTGAAATCAGAGTTTGTTTTTGCGGAGGAGGCCAATAGAAGAATGTGAATGTTTTAGATTTTGGTACTTTCTATCCTAGTGATGCTTCTAAATATTTTTTGTCATACTTGAAGTTTAAAATACTCTATGTAAACTCTTAATTTAAGAATCAATCAAAATTTAAGAATACAATTCATCGCACTGCCAGTTTAGAAATGAGAGTAATTACTCTTAGAATCTCAACTTAAAAAAAATAATTACAACATGTTTGATTTTATTATTTGTTTTATTATATGACAGGTCTTTACGAAGTGAGGCACGCCTCATACAGGAACGTTTGTTGTATGATCTTAAGGAAGTGTGGAAAACAGGCTTGCGATGGGAGGAACCTGAACCAGACATTGAGGGTCTGGGCCTGAAAGACAGCATGACAAAGAGGAAGAAACCTTATCGCGCTGCTCTGCATGTAGATACTTCCTGTCTAAACAAGCTGGAAGGTGTCTTCATTGCTCTCTCCATTCTTGGGAACTTTGACTACCATGTGAGCAAGTTTGCATCGAATTTCATGCGATTAGTGCTTCAACCCCTTACAACGCAAGAAGGTCAAGTGAATGTGCTGCAAGTGACAGATGACAACAGTGAAGCACTTCTGGAGATTGAGACACATCCCAACAAAACACATCCTTCTTACATGTCTGTTCTTCAAAACTTACGGAAGGTATGTGTCATTACATTGATTTTCACTCAGCCAAAAAAGGTCTGTAACTGGTCATGATTTAACACCAGAAGTTTGTTGCAGTTGTGCAACTGGTAGCTTGTTAGCCAGTGGTTTCCAATGAAAGTTATTGATTCTGCAGCTAGAATCAATTTTTGACTATCTAGGAGAGACCGCATCCTAGGCACAGTTGCCAACATTTAGGCCATAATATTGTGACCATCTTTTCTTGAGGTACCACAACGAATGTGTCAATTGTGTCTAGAATGTAACATCTCTTGGTCAGTCAAGAACCTGTTTCCAAGTTAACAAGAATAATTCTTGGCTGAAAACTATGGATTTTGTTGATGCAAAAATGAATGATATGCAAGTTGTATGGTTGTGCAGCATGTAAAAGAACTCTTGGGAACCCATCAGGTTCCAAAGAGAGTTTGGTTTTGTGTGATGCAATAAGTGGATTCAAGACCAAATGTCAAAATTGGCTGAGTTGGTTAAAAAAAAATGCTTTTTATTGGGTCCAACAGAAATGGCTTCTGCTTACCTGGTTGTGTGTGCCATGTGATAACTGAAGAAAATGAACACCAAAAAATTCATTATATATTCATCATATATTATAAAAGATTCAACTATATTTTTGATTGTGTTTAGGCCTAGTTAAAAGCCAAGGAAAGTAATGAAGTCCCTTCAGAAAAGTAAATGAATTACAAATGAATGAAAGCTCTTCATGCCAACTACCCTAATTTGCATCTGAAAGTGGTTGTCACAGAGAGGGAAGAAGTTGGGTGTTTCTGTCCCATATGTCACATACAATTTTTAACATTAAATAATTAAAACAAATACTAAATGGATTTGTAGTAGTCCATAAATTACACAATTTACTCTGTTAAAAATAGGACCATTCATACTTCTTAGATGTAAGATTTTCTCAGCATACAATAATAATTCCCTAATTAATTAATTAGCACAGAAATTGAACATTAAGTAAGTTTGGGACGACGCGGTGAGTGCGATAGCATTTGAAGGCAACTTTAAGTGAAAGGTGCAGTCAGCAGCACTGCAGGGGCAGGTAGCAAGCTGAGTGCCTCCGCTGGGGACTGCTGTGGGAGCATCTCAGCTCAGGCAGTGTTGCTCTTTTTAACTCTGAAAACGTTCTCTTTCCTGAGATTGCATTGCTTCACATCATCAATAATATGATAAACACTGATAATAATTCAATAATAATGACTTTGAGGAAATGGAAAAAAAATAACTGTACAACACTTTCATTCATTTACGTCAGTGTGTTTCAAGAGTAGAACATAATTAAAAATAAGGTACTCTAATTTTCTTTACAAATACTCCTAATAATTTTCTATGGCATGATAGCTTTTAAAACAAGTGTCAGTGCAAAGTCCACCTTTCATTCAGGGCACCAGAATGTAGGCACTGGACGTCTTCCACTCTCTTGACATACCACACATCGCTTCCGTTGTTTAATTTTGTCGCCTACAGGTGGAATTCTTTCAAGAAAGTGTCTTTCTGACAAGCAATGTAAATCACTCCCTACTGCCCTTTTGTCTTGTGAATGAGTAGATAACAATTGCTCGATCAGATCAATACGAAATTTCAAAGATTTCAATTCTTGTCCCAGTATGATTGTTTTCAAAATAATAAATAACACAGTGTCATTTAATAATCTTCTGAACGTTTACATATTCCATTTCTTGCATTCTCCCTTTCATTAAAATATATTTACAGGTACTGTTCTTTCATGTCTACCCCTCCCATAGATTTATAGTAATCAAGAACGCACACAGGATTTTTAATTTCTTCTTTTCTGTTTGTAATGACTGTTTTGAATTTATTCTGATGGTAGGTTCTTATCATAGAAACAGCCTTTTTATCCATCCATTTCAACATTGAAAGGGGGCCTGAATGTTGTGCAATGTACTCACCTTGCTTCAATTTCGTTTCTCGCAATATTATAAGAATATTTTTTCTGTTCAAATGTAATGTTACTACCCAATCTGTTCCCATTATTTTTTTAACATCGCAGCAAATAAGGAGGAGTTGTAGGAATTGCCCACCCATAAAATGTGGCCCTTATTTAGCAATGGCTGTATTAAATTTCAGGAAATTTCTATTATTTTATTTATAGTATGTCTGACAGTCGCAATAATTTCTTATGATACGTAGTACATAGTTAACAAAGAATTGTAAATCAATTATTGCTGTAAAAAATCCATTAAAAAATAGAAACACATCAATCGATATTAAAATATTTGTATCAAAACACATGAAAAGAAACCAAAAACTCGCCATAACACACTGCATGTCTGTGCGTGGCACTGCCAAGCGACCATCCTCTGTAGACGAAACAATGCAAGTGAGAGGAAAAACAGGTAACGGTCCCTTCAGTCCTGAGACGGCTTACCATGAATGGAAAGGAAAATCCAACCCACCCAGGAATGGCATACCACGTTTAGAAGAGAAAGGAAATTTCTGTCTACAGACGGATACCACGCAGAAGGGTTAAAGAATAAGACAAGTCTAGAAGTGTTCTTTTACATACCACAATATTACAATACTCTATTAACAGATAAATCTGGTACTAATGTGCATGTGAAATTCTGAACATGTTTACAAATACTTGCATTATTTTTTTTCTTCTTACTTTACTTGAGAACTATGTATCAAAAAAAATATTATTGATAGGATTTTGAGAAAGTATTATGTTGAACTATTTTTACTTAACATTAATCAGAGTATTGGAAGAATTTGCAGGACACACTGACATTCTTGAATGACTCCTCTTTTCATTACATTCTTTGCCTTTACTATTGGCTTGAAAATTTCTATTATAAAAGAGATTAGTGATGGCTACCCTTCTACTGATCCATTTACATTGTCTTCCTTGCAGGTGTTTGAGTTCACAAGGCAGTACCTCATCCTGCAAGTGGAGGATGCACGAGATGGGGAGCCGTTGGTCACTCTAGTGAACCGCATGGGGGCAGTCATAGGAGCCCAGCTCTGCGAGATGCTGGTTACTGGATGTCTGGCCCACACAGTCCCTGCCTATGGTCACGATTTGAATACGTTTCGCCAGGCTGCTGCCGAAGCTGAGGCCTTCCACCATGAGCTGAAGTCAATCGGTGAAACTCTTTTAAGTTCCACTCACTAAGCTGTTTGTTTATTTTTATTAGCAGATCTGGGCAACTTTATTTAGTGTTATCTGCTTTTCAAAACTGCAAAAAGATTTAATTTATTGTTGCAAATTGAATGCTCCTGAATACATTGAGTTCTTTCCAAGAAATATTCAATAAGGATATGAATATCTGCCAAAGGTGCCGACTCTTCCCATCAGTTAAAAATATGATAAAATATAATATTTTGCTATTGTGAATAGTGCAAATCTTAAGGATTGACTAAAAGGCTCTTGATCAGCCAGCCACTTGGAATTGTTTTGTCGCTCATTCCTTTCATACGGCATCACATGTTAAATTGATTCTGATTGATGTCAGCCACAAGTAACATTTTCACCTTTCATGCTATCTCAGTGTTACGTACGTGAACATAATACAAAGCATAGATGTTATGATTCTGCCAGTTATGGAGATGGTAGTCTATCTCTATTTATTTATCAGTATGTCATTCTTCTATCAATGTCTTAAATCAGCCAAACAAAAGACACTAATTATCAAATTAATTTGGTGAGGATGGGACAGGAAAGAGAAAGATAAGATCACATGCTGCCTTTTGCCCTTTTGTTAGGGTTCTGCTCTGTCATTCTTCTGGTGTGGATCAGAGAAGCCAGCCGCTAGAATTCTCCTCCAGACAGCTGAATTCAACCTGAATTCAACCATGTAATTCAACCATTCAACCAGTGTTGAAAATTCTGCCACCGTCAAAACCCTAGGACCTCTTGTTCAGAGGCACTGCAGTAACATCTGTTGTTGCCGTGAGCCCCCCAAGCCGGTATTTTTCAATAACACATGATGAAATAAGGTTGTGCTCAATTTTTTGAAAAAAATAGTAGTTTTCATGTAATTTTGTGTGAAATTAGAAAATTAGGCCAAATGTTTTCTTCAAATTTACTCCTTGTATGTATCAAAGGACAATTCAAATAAGGGGTTCTGGTCCCATTTTCAGCCAACTCTGCATTTTTGAAAATTGAATGAAAATAACACTGCAAAATTACAATATTGAAGATAGGGATTTTTTGTCATGAATAAAAAATTATTAAAAACAGACCTTTAAAAAAGATCAGGTACATTAAAATAGTACCTATTAGTTTTTGCATTTTATTATTTGTAGTTGAAGACATTGCCATTAAAAAAACATTTTCTCAAAAATGGTTCCACATTTTTTCCATGGATAGAGCTAGGGAATCTTAAAAAATGGTCCCTGTATTCTCAAAACTTGCAATAGTTGTAAATAATACATGAAAGTATGTAGTATTGTAGCATTGCTATTTAATTAATGCCATCCATTAAATAAGTTTTGAAAAGAAAAATAGTCTTTGGGTAATTTTGTGTGAAACTGTTAATTTTTATCTCGAATGCTGCGATGTTGATTTAAAAAAATTAAGTTGGTTCAGTTTTCCTTAAAACCTCTGAATCTTTGAAAGTTGTTAATGTTCGAACATTATTTTTTGAAGGTCAGGAATGTTGTTTGCTAACTGAGCTAGTTGGAGTAATGGTAATGTTAAGTGTTTGCAAAACCTAAGTAGTTTGAATCTCAGCACAGTATATGCCTTTGCCGGTTGATTGCCCTTTGGCAGGTTCAAGTGGTGTTATAAAATTTCATAACCGTTTTAATAATGCAAGAAGATACATGCTATTGTAGCTCCACTAGTTCTAAAATCTATGGAATATTTATTCAAACAGATTGAAGAAGGGAATGATATGAAGTACTTAGTAACTAAAAGTTTATGGAACAAACTTGAAACTTTTTTTCTGTCTTCATTTTGGCAACTGAAGGTTTAAAAAGGTTTTATATTATTAGAATATTTAAAATATTATTTAGAATTTATTTTACCTGAAATATAAAGAAAATATATCCTAATATTTTGAAAATTTCTTTCTTACTTAGGATTTCTGCCAGAAGAGAATGAATCACTTGTCAAATATGCAGCCAATATTGATGTGTTGTTTGCCAACAAAATTTGTGAGCTTCATTTGCACACTGCAAGAGAAATAGCTCGAAAAGATTTACATGACACAATGGATGTTGGGATTATTGTAAGTAAATGAGTTTTTTATTATCTTGGAAGTCTAAAGGAGGTTTTTTAATGCAAAGGGAGGGGGGAGATAGATTTCATTTTGGATAATGTATATATCCAGTGTAGAATATCTGCTTATTACAAATATGTGTTAGAAAAGTAAATCATTGGTAAGTTTTAGTATTAGTCCACGTCTCAAACTTGTTAGCATTGATCCTTTTAAATGAATAGTCTCCACAGGATCCTTGCGAACATTTTGTGCAACTCTCTTTTTAAAACATGTGTTTTAAGTATTTGTATTTAGCCATTATATATCCCGTAAAGAGCAATTGCCCTGGCACCATTAGATCACCAACCAGATACCTATGATGTTTCAAATTCACTTAACCTTCATGGCTTAATGTAGTTAACAAATTCAGCTAGAGTCATTGGTTTTGCGGTCATGGCCTTTCAGTAGCACCATCTCAGAATTCGCTTGGATAGCTGAGCGAAACTACAAAAACTCCGAACAGGATATCAGACGGAGGAATTGAACCCGGGCCTCTGGAATGTGAAGTGAGCGCACTATGCCCTGAGCCACTTTACTCAATGTTTTAAGTATTAGAAAGATATAAAATAAACCCAAATACTTTTTATTATTATTTTATTTGTATTATTGTTCTGTTTTGTAGTTATATATGTTTTTAATGTAATTGTGTAATTTTAATACAATGGAATATGAGAATATGAAGTGTTGCAATTTATTCCAAAATTTCTTTTCAATTGATTGGAAAATGAAGGAAGGAAAAAAAATAATTATTTTATTTACCAACATTTGTTTTAATCACAATTTTGATGATCATCTTTCCTCTCATCATTGTCATTTATTTTCAGATCCCTAAGCAAGAATTACCATGTAAAGATGATGAGCCTGACATTAAACCCATTGAAAAATTGAGTGATTATACATTCCAATTTCCTAAGTGTCAAATAAGGTATGTCATCTTCAACCTTACATTATTATCTACATAATTGCTTTCCTTTGGTAAAATGATTGTATCATATAATAATTTTGTTAGTAACACCAATCTTTTTACTAAAATTATTTTTTTATGAGAATTGTTTAAAAATTACCAAACTTTTAAACTAGTGGTGCTACAACAGCACATACTTTCTCACAATATTCAACGTTATATTATTGTTACGTACGACAGTACGCTCATAATGCTTCATTAATTTCAAAGAGAAATTACGCAAAATCTAATAACTTTTACAAAAAATTGTACATCACCTTTTTTAATGAGCTAATTTTGTACAAATGACTTTGTCTGAGGCAAAAATCTCTATCTTCAATTTTGTAGTTTTGAAAACAGGATTAGCACCATATTTTTTTACCATTTCTTATTACATATGAAGAGACAATTTGCTTACTTTTTGAGGGGGAGAAATTCATAAACTATGAGGGCATGTTTGCAAAAACTGTTTGTTTTTCAAAAAAGTGAACATAACCATTTTTAAAGAGCTAATTTTGTACGACAAATTTATAAAAATTTTGTACAACAGACGTGCAAAAATCTCCATTTTCAATATTGTAATTTAAAAATTATTTTTTGCACTATTTGAAAAATCGGTCAATACTAAATATGAGACTATTACCATATTTTGAACAATCCCTCATTACATAAGTGTAGAAAATCGAAAGAAAAAATTTGAAGCCTTTTCTTTTTTGAGAGAGAAGATGTGATAATTTCATGGGCAAATTACTAAAAAACTACTCAATTTTACTTTCCTGTATACATACATATATATGGAGTTATATTTGTAGTATATGGAAAGTGATTTAAGACTGCGGACAGACACAGACAGACAGAGTGGTATTTTTTGATAGTATGGGGAACAAATCACATTAGCATTCTCAAGAATGGGTCTTATGTATGTTATATAGTTTGTTTTATCACAGATGGATGCAATGTAGAGAATACCTTTGTAACCAGGTGTAGTAGCTTATTGGCTCTTTTGGTAACAGCAGCAACCTAGTTAAACCATTTCAAATTTTGAGTGAATGATGAGATTATTTTGTTCTGTCTTAGAATTGGAGATGTGATTTCCAATGGTATAGTTTAGGTTAGAGGTATTCCTTGCTAGGTGGAGGGCCATATAATAATTGGGGTTTAAGGGTAGCAACCAAAATTTCAACCATCCTACCACTTTATTGAAGGCATTTTGCAGCATCTGGTCATCTTTAGTGGATTTGAGAATAGTTTGGTGTCATCCACACAGCACTCATCAAGACAGATCATTACCGAAGTCGCAAGTATATAGAATGAATAATATCGGGCCTAGGGGGACACCACTTGTAACAACACAAGATCTTGATGATGTGTTTCCAATTGGTACCTGGAATGTTCTGTCTGATAAATATTCCTGAATGGTTTGTCTCGTATACCCAGAGATGAGAGTTTGTAGATGAGACATTTATGTGGTACTTTATCGAAAGCTTTAACATAATCTAGATAAATAACATCAAATGGTTGTTTCTGCTCCAATTCTTTTGTCTGTACATCTAATGAGTGGAGTAAATTTGTGGATGTTTGTCTTCTAGGGATGATACTGTATGGTTGTTTAGGAATAATATAATTTTTAAGTGCATGATCTAAAAGCCGTCTGACAAATATCCTTTCCATGACTTTTCTCACTGTGCTTGCCAGCCAATTGCTCTCTTGTTTATTGGTAACTTTTTGTCTCCTTTCTTGAGAACTGTCATGATGACAGCTTTTTTCCAACCTCCCTGATTCTAATACTGTCTGAATATTTTGTTCAGTAAAGGGGCTAGTTGTAGATTACAATTTTTCAGGATCATGGTTGGAATACAATCAGGACCAGTGGATGAGCTTACATTCAGTCACACATTACCTGAGTAGTTTCAATATCTAAAAATTCTATGAAGGGAATACTTCCTGTGTATTTCTCTTCAAAAGTCTGCAATGCACCTTTCAGTTCTATGGTAAATATTTTTTCGAATTCATTTGAAAAGCATTCCGCAATTACACGACGGCCCCCGCCGCTGTCGCCGTCACATTGCAAGATCAAATAAGGGATAAAGGCTTTATGTTCGCAAGGGGCTCTCATGTAATTCAGCATAGAATTTCTACAAGTGCAATTTAGGTAAACATTTAATAAAAAATTTGAATAAGTTTTACCTGACTTTCTCAGGACAAATTCATTGCGCCATCTTATTCTTTCACATCGAGTGAGCGTGTTTAGCTCTAAATTAATTTTTAAATGTGAAACTATGTCTCAGAAAGAAGAATTTATTAAGCAATGTTAATATTCTTTGTTTTATGTATATTGAATTTGGCGAAGCTGTTAAGTTGTGAACTAAATAAATTAGCGTGGGTGTCTCGGATATTCAACTCATTTTCACCTCAATACACACAAAATTATTGACTTTCTACCAAGAAATAAGAAGCAGCAAGTCTTGTCTTGCCTACCAAAATGTTCTAATTGTGACACAGATTCCAATCATGGAAGTCGATGACATAAATAAGTGATGCAATTATATTAACATAGACTGATAAATGTTACAGCAAAAGTGCCCATGAGCTCGTGGAGCTGCTGAGGCGTCTTTTGGCTGAGGCAGAGAAGGGGAGCGATGTGAGTTCAGGACGGCTGCTGCTCACAGCCCGCCAGGTAGTCGAACTGTATTGGGCTGTTTCACATACTCACCATCAGCAAATGCTTAGCACAATCCCACAACAAGTTGGTAAGTAAAAAAAAAGTTGTGAAATATTTAAATGTGCTGTGTTTTGCATTTGTAAAACTAGTTAAGAAATGACTCTCTTGCAGCAGAGTGAGGTTTCAGAAGGTTTTTGTGTTTCATAATTTCCCCCAAACTTCTGGGAAATGAATTAATGTAAGTTGCACAGGTCAAGTGCATTGCACATCAGGAAATACCTCCCTTATTTAATGTATAAAAGTCATTTTCTTTCTTCCATAATTCAAGTGGATAATTTATTATAATATAAAAAGATAAATAAAGTTTATTATGAAAGAACAGAGAACTGTATTTCTCTGGTAAATATTCGTTTCCATGTAAACAAACTCATTGCCAATGAAGCAGGTAATATTTTTGAGTTGTGTTTTCACTAGAGGATTTACTTAGCCTTTGCAAGATGTGGACAATTCCAACATACAAGAAGAACATTACCTGAACACTATTTACAATAAAATATTTATATTGTCTGTGAAACATGCCAAGATTATCTGTGAAAAGTGCCAACCATAAGTTAGCCGTTTGGCTAGCACAGTTCGTTCTGCTGGATGCCTTTTTAGTGAGTGTATGAAAGATGATCGTAGTTGCCGGTCACAAGAAAAACTGTGAAGATAATAGAACGACAGACAGCTTTTAATTTATGCTTTCAGAGAAAATTACACAAAAAAAGTCCCCATTTGGAATGAAATGAGCTCATGTGAAGATTTTTTAATAAATTAGTTTTAAAATTTACTCTTAATGCTGATGACAAAAGTTTTATCAGTATCAGTAATCAGGACAATCCGCGACCACAAAAAAAATGTTAAAAAAGGAATGTGAATTTTGCTTGAAGAACGTTATTTTAGGCCCCAAAGCATGGGTTTTCCTTTGAAAACGAAGAATATTCACCGCCCGTTTCATCCGCTGTGCTCGTGAAAGTCATCAACCCAAACAGCTAGGCAGGCTGCTGCGTCGGGGAAAAGGCGGTTGGGAAGGGGTCGATCGTCGCCGACTGGGGCGCAGGGGGTGCCGAAAGCGGCGGCCAATATTCTCCCCCCCTGTTGAATGTACCGGCCTTCGGATCGCACAGGTGACCTTGCTCCGCTTGCGTCACTCGGTGTCTTCTCTCGTCGCTTAGTGGGCCGTGGCAATGTCTTTGGTTGTTGTGACTGTCTCAGACGAAATCATGGAATTCGCTAATAAAATTCATAACTTGAATGTTCTGTCGTTTGTGATTAATTTGCTAAAGTTTGTATTAAATTACCTTAAAATTTTAAATTTTAGACATTGTTTTTACCAGGTTTGTAAATAATTTTTTTATTATATTATTTTCTTAATATTTTCTGTTCTTTAATTCCTTACTGAATCATGCTCTTCAGTGGAAGACCCTTATCTCACACATGCTGACATTGTAATGTTTATAACTGTATTTGTTGTGTGTTCTGTTCATGCACAACTCCCACTTTCTGTTTTAGTGTATTTAACATTGTTCGATAGTATGACATTCATCTAGGCTGAATGTACCTTTAACTGTCTTAACATTTTCATACTACCCAGAATTCATTCAAATTGCGATACCAAACAATAAAATATATTTTGCTAATACAGTTAATGTGAACAGTTTTGTAGAATCTAATTTTGTTTCATTAAGATGTTTCTTTTCTTTATGGTTAAATTTTTTAAAACTATTTTTGTGTGTGTTTATTTTTAGCTCTCTTCCACAACAATTGTATGTACATAGCCCATCATTTGGTAACACTTGGGGCTGAACACCAAGGACAAGGTTTTGGAGTGAATTTCTTGGATCAAGTTCAAGGATTACGAGAATTAGGTGCTAATGTGTTGCTTCAGTGCACACAAACTAGCCGACAGCAAATCATTAATATTCTCCGAGAATCAGGTAACCATCAGCAAAAAGGCAATACATTTACAAGTTTTATTATTAAATTAAAATACAATAAAAATTCCTTCTTGGTTACATATGACATCACCACTAGTCAAATGAAGATCACGTTGACTGATGGTGAAGCAACCGAATAGAGTAATCACTACAGTCCAAGTATTGTTGAATTGAATTTCAGGGTCCCATGATATTTATCTATTAGTCTTCTTTTTGTTATCAGATCATAAAGATATGACCATTACAAAATGTGTATTGCTTTTGTAGAGGAGGGGGAGTTTTGAATGACTCCTTTCCACTACCATCATACCAGTGTTCGAGGGGGGGGGGGGGGGGGGTTGCCTTAAAAATTAAGTGTCCTGACTTGTACTTTTGGTTAAAATATTGGCATTAATAACTTCCACAGTAAAAATTAACATTGAAAATTCTAAAAATGTACTCGTTTAAACTTCTAGACCAATCATTAGTCTACTAGAATACAATCTTATTGAAATCTTATTGACTAAAAAATGTTTATGAAACACATTATCTATCATTATCATTAATTATTATTATTATTATTAATTATATATATTATTTTATTATATTATTATTATTATTATTATTATTATTATTATTATTATTATTATTATTATTATTATTATTATTATTATACTTACTGGTTACTTTTCTATAATTTTGAAAAGGGGTGGAGGGGATTTCAAATGGAACATTCATCTCATGTGAGAGTGTTTGTGTGTTAAAAGTAGTTACAAAGGAGAAGAGGGTTAGAAAAGACTTCCATATTACAAACATATTTTTTGAATGACTCCTTAGGTGTTCAGAGATATCAGAGTTGAAAATAATAATTGTATTACTATCTTTATTAGGTTTGAGTACCATTGGAGAAGGATCGTCATTACCTCCAACAACTGAAAAAGCTATGAGGCAGTGCCTGAGACAGCTAGAACTTTTGAAAGTTGTATGGAGCCCTGTTTTGCCTGAAAATACATATTGCAGAACTCTTGGTAAGTGAGATATGTATCTTAAGTCTAAAAGTGGCTAAACATATTCGGTATTTGGTGAGTATCAATCACACATTCACTGAATCCTGATTAGTGCTGTTGGATTGCTTGCTATTTGCCAAGCGCCAAACATTCAGTGCTCATCCTACTAAATGTTTCAGTCTGTTGGACACATCAAAGGAAGCAAACAGCTGGCTACTCAGGATTTAACAAGCAATTGCTTATTACTCTCCCATGGCGTATCTGTAGAGCCTTAATGTTTCATCTTCCTTGCTCATTAGGCATGTGATATTGTCAGAGAAGAATTAAATGTTCTTTGACTATGTTATTGGATTTTCCAACTTGCACTTATGAATTTCTTTCAACCTTTTTTCACATCTCTCCTGCAATTTGGCAATCAGTTAATTTATCATTTGTGAATACTGTTGAAGAGGATAACACGAGACGTTATTGAGACAAAAGTTTTATTTTTAATGCTGTTGAAACTAGAATATTTGTGTAGTGAAATAATAGACTAGAAAATATAAGAAAGTTAATTTTTGTTTTTCATATCTTAGCATGATTTTTGATTTACTAAACAATTTCCATAACACATGTTATAACTTATATTGTCTCTCCTGTGAGCATTCAGTGAACACAATAATAAAAATATGTAATTAATGAATTTTCTTTCTCCTAAGGTTGCCTACTGAATGCCTTGGTGGAAGAGTTAGTGCTACGTATTGTGAATCTTGAAGATATACCAGCGCACGTGGCAACTCTGCTTGCTGCAATGTTTTCTGATGTTCTTGAACGTGCTCCTCAAGTTTTTCCAGATACACGGGAAGTGCATCGTCACGTGCACAAGTGGCATCAATTGGAGGCTCTTGTTAAAGTATTGAGAGCATCTCTAACTGAGATTGCTGACAACTGGGCAAGTGGAGCTGGTCCTTTAGCACGAGCATTTTCAGCAAATGAACTTAAACAACTCATCCGAGCCCTTTTCCAAAACAACAAGCGTAGAGCTGCAATTTTAGCTCTCATCAAGTAACTTATGTGTCAACTTGTGCTAAATAAATTAATGAGTTTTATCACACCAATCACACCAGTACAATCTTAAGTGAACAGGTGGTGTGACTTCCAGATAGGTGGCTTCCACCGTGATATTTGCCTCATCATGCACACAAATTAGTACTGCTACTGCCTTACAAAACACAGCCACTTCAACTGCATATGCATTTCTGAAATGAAGTGAAAGAAGATTTCTATATTGGAGTGAAGAATCCATTTTGGAACATTGTATTATCATTTGCCTCTCATGTGTTGGTGTGTTGTTGAAATGTTGTGGGTTGTAACATACACAACCATATGTATATTAAAACAAAAGAAAAAACAGACCAAAACAAACATTAATTTTGAATTTTTCATGTAACATCATGGGAATTTTATTTGTTATCTGCTAAATGAGTAACTCAAAATACAAAAATGAATCTGTGATTTGAAGATGGAAATAAGTTTTTGATGCACAATTTTGAGCATGCTAATAATATCCGCACCTAGCATCTGGGGCAGTTATGTACTCCATAAAAGTTGTTGGGCTGCTCGGTAACTACAATTTTGCATTTCTGTGATGTAAAGAATCGTTTTTATCCCCTGGACTTATTTTCTTTACAACAGGGCCACCGAGCCTACTGTTCCAAAGAGGAGCTGCCATTTGCTCCCTCCCTTTTTGGGTAGCTTGGTGATGGCGATGATCAAGGTCTTCATAAAATAGTTCAATCACCGGGTTTGGAAACGTAAGATGTCTTCTCTACGTGGTATTATATTCACCTTCTCGATGGTTTTGAAATGTAAGATAACAAAAGATATCTATGACTGTTGTCATAAAAGCATTTAGGTGTTTCCTACCTGATAGTTCTTCTGTGCGAGAAACAGTATTACCAACTCCCTCACTATTAGTAATATATGATTAATCACAGTTCATACAATGAATACAGAAATTTCTCGGTTGTTTTCCAATCATTAGAATTTGTAGATGACAATAGAACACTTACTTCAGCTGGACAAGTTTTATTTTTACACTGATCTAGTTTCAAGAACAACAAAGAAAATGTATATCTCAACTCTTTTTAATCGACTTATTTCCTCTTTAAACTCACTGATTCAAACGCTGTTGGATTTTGTTGGTGAATTTGATGCATATGTACTATTAAAACTGCTTGTAATATATTGTTGCTTAACAATGAGCCTTTTGGAAATTTTTGAAGGTGTGCTAGCTTGTTGAAACTTTTCTACTCTGTATTGAATAATCATGTAAAAAAGGAGGAAAACTACCTCTCCATGTTAAATATTAAATTAATTTATTTCCTTGTTTCAAAGAATGAAGTTATTTTTTCTTTTAATTATGTTGGTTTATTGTGAATCAATGCTCAGATCATGTTTTTGACTGATAATGTTGAGAAATCCATTGTCCATTTCAGCAGATGCTATGCAAAGGGAAAGTGGTGAGTTGTGGACACAAAAGACTGGAAATGTCACAAGTTTCAAGAGGAAGGGTTCACACAATTTAGATAACATATGAATAATTAGATATTAATAACATATTAGAAAATATCCAATTAACTATAACGTTTGTCCAAGAAGAAATAAAATTACTCTTCCCTTAAGCACAGTAGTATTGTGTGAAACAAGTGGGACGAATGTCCACATGGCATTTACTGCTAATAAATTTTGTTTTCCACTTGCAACCTTCAAGGACACACCTTTCTATTTCTTTTTTCTCTGGCCAAACGTCTCAATATGAGAATTTTCCCTAGTTTTAGGAACACTTTGCTCGTTAGAATTTTTGCTCATGTTTTCATATCCATGAATGAGTTGTTGCAAAAATATGAGAAGCTCATAAACAATTTCTTGCTTTATTTTGTTGATTCATCAAAAATTTATAAGTACTACAAAAGCATCAAGCAAGTAAACAAAACTTGGACACTACCCCTTTCTCTAATTTTTAATCTATTTGTAGCTGCAGACTACTCCTTTCTGTCCACACTTTCTATAGCTTTATTATTTGTCTTAAATAATGTGATTATGTAACAGACACTTTGACAAGGAGACAATATAAGTTTCTTTGTATCGCTATCATTATATTCACCTTCTCTAAAATTTCATTTCCAGAAAGACTAAAACAATGTATGTTACTTTCACTTGAGAACAAGTTTTGCAAGAGTCCTGGGTACATTGCAGCCACTGAAACATATTACTAAGTAATTTCAACAATTGTTAAAATACAAAAATAAAAATTAGTGCAAGTAGCACTATTTAATATAAAAAACATGTCGCTAGTTCAATAATTTTAGAGTTATTATGACTGAAGTATTCCCCTAATGCTCAACCTCAGAGAAACTTATCTCTATATTCACTATTATCTGTATATACAAAAATGGATGTTGGGATGTTCCAGATCGATGAACTCTGACGCTGATTGACCAATCCCCCTGAATGTTGGCATCTATGTGCATTTTTCTTGGAGAAGGCTTTTATGCTGTTCATTTTGTTGTCACTCCACTAGATAGCACTTCAGTTAAATTTAAATCCCAATCCACTTTAGCTCCATTGCAAGTTCAGTTTTGTGACGCAGGGCAAGGCCAAGTCTTTGTTTCCACAGTGAAACTGAGAGGTGTAAGGTCCCCATTCCAGGTCCAATATCATCACCTCAGAGGAGATTTCTTTGATTATAACCTTTGGTCGATGATATTTTTTCTATGCTGCCTGGTGTTTGAATTTGTGAAACTGTGGTCATGTACATATGCTTTTTTAGGAGGGAATTAATTTCCAGGACTTATTTCCTACGTCCACTATAGCCGAGGTTCAGGTTCAATATATCCGAATCTTCTTATCCTTATTTGTGATGTAAGTGAAATGGGACCAATGATTTAACTTGACACTGCCGTTCTTTTTGCAGTGAAACTGAGTGGTATAAGATCATCAGGAAGGTGCCCATTCCGGGTCTGCCACTCTCACCTCAGCAGAAACTTCTTCGATTTTGAATTTTGGTGTACAATCTTTTTTTTCAAGCTCCCTAGTGTTGAAATTTGTGGTACTAAGGCGATATATTATTTTCCAAAAGGAAGTTAATTTTCATTGTATTTTCTACATTCACTATAGCCAAGACTACAATTGATATCAATAAGGTTCACTACAACTGAATCGTATGCTTATTTGTATTGTATGTGAAATCAGTTATTTTTAAAATTTTCTTTTATTGTCTGTCCATCGGTTTGTATGTGAGTCTGAACAATATAAGTGACCAACTTAAAGCTCTAAAGGTCTGCAAAATTTTTTGAACCACTAATCCAATGTTCATGAACTGTTGTTTTCTGATTCATCTCATCTTGACAATGGCCAAACGACCTGAGTAAAAGAGGACCCGTTTTTTGGAGGATGTTTTTATTATTTAAGGTACTAACGTTACTTATGTTAACTGTACACTTTTATAAAGGGGGCCGGGATAAATGTTTTGCAAGAAGGCCAGCACTCATTTCATTTTGCTATTGCATCTTGAAATAGGTCAGCATGAATCTCTCATCTCAAAATTTCATCAATGAATTGGCCCAGCATTCGCTTTTCTCATCTCTCAGTTGAATGAAATGTGCCCTTTTCATTTTTCCTAAATACATCGAAAGTGGTCTACCATCTACCAAATGGGAGAGGAATATTTAAATGTCAAAAAGATGCCTAACTAAATGCATTTTGATGTGTGTCAATAATGCAATTAGACTTTAAGTAATTCCAAGATTAAAATTGATTCCATCTGAGAGGGGCAAGGTGGGAAACTGGCTGATGCAGGAATGGGGGATAGAAAATAACTTCTTACTAGGTATGGATGTATTCCTTTTCCTGTCTGACAATTGTCATACATAAATGCTTAGTAAAAGTCAGGCTACTTCCTGTATTTTTGTCTATAATTAATTATAAATCTCATACTTGTGTAATGTTGCCTAATAACTGGAAAGATTAAATATTATTGTTAGGAGAGATCACAACAAAAAAGCATGTACATAATTTAAAATTTTTACCAGACATTTAGTTTTAGGGGGTCTTATCTTCCTAAAACACTTTTCATTACCTTACTAATCCTTTGTATTCACTATAACGTACAAACCACTCTGAAGAAAATTTTAATTTGGAGTGAAAGCATTTGAGAAAAATTGTTCAGTTCTTCATTTGGTATTGTATCTTCTTTTGCAATTTTTTCAAAAGCAATTGCTATCCTTTTGTAAACATATCCCAGTGTGGTTTATATGAACATAAATCCTGAAATAGCAAGCTTAGAGTATATTTTTCAAGCAGTAATGTTTGCTTGCAGAGAAAAACAAAAAGTAATGTGTATTTCTGTGTACTTTTGAAAACACTTTTCAGAATTAACTTGAGGTAGTAGGCCAAAATAAGAGATCATGTTCCAACTACAGAATGATTTATTCTTTATAGAATATACAAATTTTGTGCTCTTTCCCCTCCATCACAATTTTCAGTACTTATTATTCTATCTCTGTTATATTTGTAAAAACAAAAAATATAATAATTTTTAGTTACATCCACTAATCACACAAAAATGAGCAAATTGAATTGCTGGACATCAAAATCATAATTGCCTGCTTTGATTTCTAATATACCATCTCCAAGTTTGCATATTAATAATAGAATATATTGTGCTTTGTTTTAACAAAATGGCAAAGTACAATAGTACTGCACCTTTCCAATTTTGCTAGTATTAATTTTATTTATATGGTTGAATTGTAATTTATTGATTTGAAAAGTTCAGCTATTAACTCATAGAAAAGCATCATAAACAATTTACTTTTGTGTAAACAGAAATTTTCTAGCCAAAAGAATGGTCGGAAAAGCCGCAATAAAATATGCTTTCAATTAAAATCTTTTGTTTGTCTGGAATGTGTTAAAAAAATGAATAAATGTACTTTATTTTGTAAATTCTTAAGAAAATATTGCAAAAGAATCGAGAATATGCAAGAATACTTAACAACCTTAACAACTTTCCTTTTTTAGAAATTTGCGATAAACATTGAAGAAAGGAAACATGGATAATAGGAACACTGAAAAACAAAACACAAATATTATAAAATATTAATTTATTAAAAATTCATCTCAAGTCACTATTTTACACAGCCAAGACATTCTGTGAAAGTGAAACAAAGTCTACTACATGTTGGTTTGAAGTGAAAAAGATGAAAAATTTGTGCACTGATAACAAAACAACTATTGATCGATCACAGAAGGAAACCAGCTATGGGAAGAGAAGAATAGTTTCTTGCCCAGAGGCAATGCCAACTGCAGTGGTTTTACCATGATCTTCATGTGTATTCGATCTTGTGTCTTCATTAAATGATCTGCTACGCACTGGCAATGCAGTTGAAGAACCCATGGCAGGTTAGTTAATTAATCTGCAAGACTGCTTAGGTATACTCACGTGTAGTTTACATGCAGATACGCCATTTACATTTCTTGGTGAACATTAATTCCTCTACTGCCAATTATTTTTATACATCTTTTCATTCTCTTCATATCTTTTCCTGGATAAAAGGATGAGTGAGAGCTTGGTTAATAGCCGGTCGTTTTGATGAGTCTAGCATTAGAATTTTTTCTAGTAAATCCTTCAGCTGGTTAACCTTTCTCATCTGACCCTCAGGAAGATTTTGATTGCCAATCAACTCAGCCAACAAATCCCGAGATGGGTTCAATGTTGACATCACCACTACTTTTTCACGCTCTGTTACTTTGTCTACTTCATGGTACAAAAAGTTGCAATTGCCATCAAAGTGCTGCTCTTTAAAGGATCCTTTCCTGATTAATTTATTAGGTATTTTTCCTTTCAAATCCATAAAAAATTTTAACATCTGGTTATTTGTCTTACCAGAAAACATAATTTTTCCTGTGTATAATTCATATATTGTACACCCAGCTGACCACATATCAATACCAAAATCATAAGGAAGACCTAAAATTATCTCTGGAGCCCTATAGAAACGACTAACAAGATATGGTGTGATTTCGTTTTCTGCAACATGTGATGCTGATCCAAAATCACACAACTTTAACACCAATTTGCTTTCATTGACCAAAATATTATCAGGCTTGATATCAGCATGAAGAATATTGGCTTTTTTCAGAAGTTTTAGGGCTAAGAACAATTGCTGAGTGTATGAACGAACAGCCTTAACATGCAATCCAACGGCTTTTCCATACTTCTTAAGTACTTCACGAAGATTCATACTCAAGGGTTCAAAAACCATGCACAAATGATTTTTGTGAAAAAAATGTCTGAAAAGTCTTAAGCAATGAAACTTGTCATCTGGATCTGCATCATTTAAACGCCGCAACACTTCCAGTTCCTTTAAGCCCGTTTTGTGCATTACTTCATTATTTCGAATAATTTTTACAGCAACATCCATACCATTACGAGCATTATCTCTTGCTCTGACAACATTTGAAAACACACCTTGACCTGTATATCCATAAACAACGTATCGTCCATCCATAACTTCCCCAATGCGGACTCTGTAGTAGCCCTCTGCATCATCCCAGTTGTCTGTTAGACTTGGGTTCTCTGGTCCACCCTGAGGCTTATCTAGTGTGCTGGGACTTCTATAAGTTTCCATATTATCTGCTTCAGCAAACATATCCCATTCACTCTTTTTCCCTTCTTTACACTCATGTTTTTGAAAACCTAGATTTGGTTCCTCACTACTCTCCACATGAAGATGACTACTTAACTTCAAAACATGCTTTTCCAGTTTATCTTCATTTGGTAGGGGAAGAGTGCCTTTCTGAACACTTTCAGGTTCATTAAGACGAGACACCAAAATCTGTGCAACATCTACAACTGAACTTTCAATTTTTGTTTCACTTGGTTGAATCTTTTCACCAACTTCATGCACCTGACCATTCACACTCTTCTCCTCACATGCAGACAAATGTTCATAGCTGCTAATACTGGACATGTTATTGACATTTGAAAGGTCAGAGTTTTCACTGGCAGCACCCAGTCTCCTTAATAATTCTTCACGCTGTTGTCTCCTTTTCTGTATGATTTGTTCTTCATCTTCATCCTCGGTATCAATATTGTCTACATCATCTTCAGATGATGATTTATCAACTTTTAGACTTTCTGATACATTTTCTCTTGTTTTATTTGTCTTATCATGTCCATACTTTCCACGCCTAGAATGCCTTGAGTGATGATAATTTCTTTCATGCTCTCTGTTTTTACTTCTTGAGCGAGAGCGATGGTGACATGCTCTCTTTCTATCACTTGTTCTTTCACTTTCATTTCTTCTCCTCCTATCTCTTTCCCTCTCCAACCCTCTTTGTCTTTCTCTTTCATGTTCCTTTTCTCTTTCACGGTCTCTCTCCCTTTCTCTTTCTAGATTGGATCTGTCTCTGTCTCGATCTGATGCAGATCTGTGTTCTCTGCCTCGATCACAGCGACGAACTTCAAGACTGTGACTTATACTGTGGCTACATGATTTAGAATGAGACACTGGTGATCGATAAGTACTATTTCCTTTTGAGTAAGTGTGTTCTCTTGATGACTGAGTTCTTTTATTAGTACTACTGAATCTTCTTTCATCCTTATGATGCCTGTCACTGTCTTTATTCTCTGTTTCTGTCGTTCGATACTGAGACTTTTTGTCACCACTATATGAACGATAATTTCTATCACTCTCTCGACTTTTTTTAGTGTCAAGAATTTCATGGATTTTTTCATTTGTTGTATTTCGGCTTTTCCCTCTTTCTCTACATTCATGCTTACTTTTTTGTTCATCTGCTGATGATGTTTTAACATCACTTATATGTTTTTCGTCTTTGTTTTGACTCGTACTTCCACTACGCTTCCTCTTTCTTCTATCTAACTGTTTGCAGGGTGATTTATTATCATTAAACGAAGCACTACTTGAACCTGGGTCTATTTTTCCTTCAATTTTGTCATTTTTATGAGTATCTTCCTGCTCATCATCCTCATCAGACATATAAGCCCCAAGACGCGCTTGTAATAAAGCCTTCTGTTGCATCAAGTCTTCTAAGTCAATATCATCCTCTATAACAGTTATTTCTATATCTGAATCAGATTCAATCTTCACATTACTGCTTGCATTCAACCCAAGAAACACTTCACTATGACTAGCACAGTCTGCTTTAGAGCAGCCTATAACTGAAACATTATTTCTTTCAGAATCTCTTTCACTTTCACAAATAATATTTAGTTCAGGGTCATTTGCTTTCTCAGATGACAAAATGTCAGCATCTTTTGAACAGGCAAGTGCCTCATTATTCTGACCTTTCTCTTCTTTGGTATTTTCACACTCATCCTTGTGGGTTTCCTCAACAGTTAAGGAATGACTAGATACTAATTTCTGATTTACCTGAGTTTTTTCTGCAGCCTTGATTGGAGCTTTACATTTCTTTTCTTCTTTTACATCTTTAACATCAATTTCAGCACTTTTCACATTTGCTTTAATTTTGATACTGTCTTTGGCATTTAAATTATCTTCAGTTTTTTTATCTTTATGCTTTCTCTTTTTGAGATGCTTCTTTTCATGTTTATCACATTTCTCATGCTTATCACTAGCATGCTTCTTATGTTTATGATGGTGTTTATGCTTTTTCTTCTTTTTCTTTTTACAAGTGGCATCTTTAATTATGGTGGCATCATTTATGACTTTTTCGGTCTTGACATCTCCTGCTTCCTTATCCATTGAAGCCTCTGAACTGCTATCCAGTACATGGCTAGAAGTCAATATGAATTGAGCCAATTCATTGGATGTCTAATGTGTACAATGTGTATACCATTTAATCTTGGCCAATCTTGGGCGAAGAAACTATATTTTATGTTAAAAAATACGCGTCTTTTCAACACACTCCACTGTTCATGTAACACCAACTTTAAGGGGGAAGAAAGTTTTATTCACAGGCGAAGTTGTAACTTCACTTTTTTTTTCATACACGCTTTCGAACACTTAATAAATAACTTATCAGCATAGCTTATCAGTTAGAAATATTAATAGGCAATGTTTGTTATAGATCGTATTCCGTAAAATTTACTTTAAATCCGTAAATGTGTGCATAACACTTCGCAAATATCCATGTATGTACGCTGTTGCAATTCAACCTCGTTACTGGAAACTTATTTCTGGAACGTTTATTAACTTACAACTATATTTCTCTTTTGTAAGTGAATATTATTGTAAATTCATATCGTAATTCGCAAGATTTCTTCTGACATTACCATTCACAGACAGTTGGACTTGTTCATAGACAAACATTCCGGTTCCATACTGACAGTACTGCCAACAAAAACTGTAATGGCATCAATAAACTCGTCAATCATTTGTAGTTGAAATGATCCATAAGTGAGTCTGTTTGTTTTATGACGAAATAACTAATAAATTTTTGCTTCTTTCCAAACATCTTTCCATGCATTTATGTAATGGAAAATAATATTCTCACAGAGTTAAAATAATATAACTGGAGAAGAGAATTGCCGGTGTTTCGAATTCTTCGCGAAATTGCTATTGTTGTGAATGAAATTCACGGGATTCAAGTGAATCAATCGCCCAATAATTTTATAGAAAAAATAGTTGATGCTGCTTTTTGACGTTGGAAAATAAACATTGCAATATTTCATTCATGAAATAAACATGGGGATGTTTTCTAATGGTAATGTTGGTAATGTTATGATCAATTCCTGTCACTTTACTGTCACTACTATAATCACATTGTAAATGGTATGTCTTCTTAATTGTTAAGATCAAATATCGGAGTTACTGATTAGGTATTCGAATCTGACTGAGGTTTTTGTTGATCAATGAAAAAGAGTATTCACTCATTGGTTGAATTATTTACTGAATCATACATTTATTAATATTTTACTCAAACTTTATACATTAATTCATTTTTTTCATTAAGAAATAATCCAGAGAAAAGTTAGTAGGAAAGTGGATGCTAACTTTGGAGAAAATGAATTTCAAATAATCTATTTAAATGGGTGTTATTAGTTCAGCCGAATAACACGTAATACAAAACCCAATAAATCGTAACTATTTAAGATAAACATATTCCATTATCAAGAATTGCTCGATTTCATGCCGCCGACAACATGCAGATAATTTCACTTCCAGGCCCCGGCAGCTGTCGCAGGCATCCAGTTGCACCGCACTACCCACACAAAAAACAACTTCCACTAACTCACTGCATCCCACTCGTTCTCGGACGGTGTAGTTCGTGAAGCGTGAGTCTCTCAACTTGTTTTATTAAGGAAGAATTACACAATTTGTGTGCAGAATATTGGAACATTTGTATTACATACAGAGAAATGAAGTGCTAAGACGATATAACCTGACCAGAATCGGTCGCAGTGTGCAGGTGGTTGCGAAATGTAGGAGGTAGTGAATGTACCCAGTCTGTAGCTGTACTGTTTAACAGGTGGGATTGACTAGTAAGAATCTTATTTTTTGGTAACGATATGCAACGGTAATTTATTACTCCAGTCAACAATGCGAAGTGCTGGAGAAAAGTGAAAATCATACTATGATATTTAGGATTGATATTTATATGGTAATCTTTGTTATAACCGTGGTGCATTCGCTGTGGTTCGTGGGAGAGAAGTGATGATCGTATCCTGATGGCAGGTTGATATCATTACTTTTTTGCATTTGAAGTTGTTTTGCAAGTGATACTTTTTAAAATTATGAAATGACTCAAAACCCTCAAAATGTGCTTTTTCGGGAAATCCATAAGAATGCGTGGCTTAAAAAGCTTCCCACTGTGGAGAAAAGAAATGGAGCTTTTCCGAAGGTTGGTCTTGTCTTTCTTTTGATGTGATTGTATAACATGAAACCCACCCCTTTTTTTTTAAACAATTGAATTTTTCAGAAAGGTGAAAGAGTATGGGTAGTGTTCTGTGTTCATGATGATTCAGAAGCTTTGCTTGAACTTTATACTGATCAGAAATTGGCTGTGGCTCATAAACCAGATTGGTTTATTTCTCTGAACAATTGTTTGCATGTATCTCCTACCATATGTGCCCAGGAAGATGAGTATGAATTTGTGATAACTTTGAGTTCTGAAGTTATTCGACTTGCTGCTCCATCATGGTAAGAGTTTTCAAAATATTCAACACATGTATGTTGATATTTTTGATTGATAAGTGATTCATTTTCATTTTAATATTCAGGGAATTGATGATGGAGTGGGTGGAGACTATAAGATCAAAGTTGCAAGAAATGAGAATACTTTCTCCTCGTGAAAATTTGTACAGTAGAATGCCTGAAGCACGATTACCTCTGGCTCCAACTCGAGACCCAAACTCTCCCCTGCCTCCAACTCCTTATGGGCCATCAGCACGTGTACCAGGAATTGAACCAGTGCATTTGGAAAACTCAGGTATTTCAATTTTACCATGTTGGTATACTTGTCACTGTCAAAAGAAATTATTTTTTTTATTTATATTATTCATTGGTATAATATCCTGTTTTTGTTACAGATGCAGTTGCAGTAACAGAATCTGTTGAACCCACTAGTATGGATGCCTTAGCTAGTACTTCTGTACAACAGACACATAGCAGTTTAAATTATGAAAGTCGCCCTTCTACTGCCTTTTACATTACTCAATCAGAACCTCCAGTATATACAAGGTTATTGTTCTTTAATCTTGAGAATGGGAGGAATTAAATAACAGATTCCTACCTGACAGTCATTAGACAACATTTTGTGAATGTAATCAATGTTAACATTAT